AGTCACTTTAATACAGCTGATCTGGGTCCTGTTCTATGGTGTTCATTGTCATTTATAACTATTCTGGTTGACCTGCTGATGTAATATCAAAGCATTAAAACAACGGCTATAACACATCGGTTTAGGTAGAAGAACATTGGAGCAACGATCTGACAAAACTGTGAGGGGGTGGGAGGTGTCAGCAGTGGCAGAGTGGGAGCTTAAACTCTTTAAATTTATCAATCTAATGAAAAGTAAAAGTCACACTTGCTGTACCCGCCTACGTGGACAGCACTACCATGATGTTGTTATCTTATATTCCCCTGGAGTAACATGTGTAAAACATCTCTGCTGTGGTTTGGTGTTTTAGAAAATGGTGTAGTCAGGAAATGTGCTAATGTTGGAGTATAATGAGGCGTGAGGACAGTTTTATGATATAAGCTAAGGAAAGAACGCCCAAGTTAACAAAAAACACAACACAACCTTCATATGGTCCACAACCTAGTATCTGTCCTGTATGAGACTTACATTGAAAAGGAATTAATGTGGTCTGTAGTCAGTCTGAAGGTAGTTTTCACAACTCGGCTCATACAAGAACAAGAAAAAAATAAGGCTGTGTGTGGAAGAAGTACTCAAATCCTTGTAGTACTGCATTCAAACTTAACTAAAAGTATTATAAGCTAATGTAATCTCCATCAATCCAGAACACCTTTAGAGAGTCAGTTGAACAGGTGCACAAGCTTTATAACATGACTGAATATGATATAATATGTAAAACCGTTACAGCTGTATTTCCAAGTCTTGTATGACACTACTGAGTAAAATGTTAAATGTTAATTCATACATGAGAGATACAGAAAGGGAAACAGGAGATTGAATGTTGTAAAGGGTAATAGAGAGAGGACACAGATAGTCTTAAAGTCAGGCACCACACAGAGAGATGCTTCCCTACAGTATGTCAAGTGGAGTGCTGCTCAGAAACGAAGCCTGAGGCTGTTGGCTTGTTCTGCTGCTTCAGAACACTCTGACATTCAGCCAAAACATCTGGACGCTCTGATACTTAGAGACACACTGCAATAATAGAACAAGCTCTACATGTGCATTTTGGCTCAGATTTGTCGAGCTTGTGGTGTTTTTCCAAGTCAAATTATATCATTGTATAAGCTGATGGCTTTCAAGAGATGTAATGAAAAGATGTGAATTGAACCGAAACCAGATCAGTGGTGCAGGTCTTGGAAGACGGCTCATTGTATACACAACGAATTCAATGAAACAAACACACTGAACTTTGATGTATCTAAGGTTGCCAGTTTGTGTGTGTGTGTGTGTGTGTGTGTGTGTGTGTGTTGGCTGACTGAAGGACCATACACAAGTGTTGTTGGAAGTTTAAAATCAGTCATTTAAATGTGGTATGAAAGTCTCTTTACAGAACAGTCTTCACCCTTTCCCACACTGGCCAATTTCTGTCATACTTTAATCATGTTTCTTACTCTGTGACAGTTTGAGGTTTCCATTTTCCGAGAAATCAAAAAGTCATTATAGTGTGAAATGACTGCTGATGACACATCTTATTTGTCTGGTTAAGAGGTTAACGGCCATATCCTCCTGATGTTTCATACATCTGCAAGAGTGGGTTGTCGCAGCGATGTTGGCAGAGAAGGACATATGTCATCCAGTGGCACCCAGGGGTTTGGGCCTGTTTCTGAGCCACAACTGAGTTCTTCATGGATGGGAGATGACTTCCCTCGGGGAAGAGCAGCTCCGTCTTATCGAGGAAGACGAATTTGTGGAATAAAAAAGTGCAGCCTTAAATCTGTGGATACTTTGTACAGGCATCCACTAAACCGACCTCCACAGCTTCACTTTTCACTCTAACATCATCTGTTCATACAGACCTTCCTCAGTCCAGTCACTCAAGTCCGGAGCTGCCAACTCAGATCCCGACACACTCCAGCGACCCACAGTGCACTTGTTACCCCAGATCCATATCGGTGCTACTTGCCTGTGCGTCAGTCTTGTTATCGGGGCTGTTTAGTGACCCAGCCCCCCCCCCCTGTGAAGTCACCCAGAGGGCCAGATCACAGCGAAGCCAACATGTGGTTTGAGTTAGCATCTCAGAAACAAGCCCTCCATACGTGGGGTTGACTGCATAGTCCCAGAGCTCTTTGGTTGGTTTGTGGAGTTTTAATTGTGTTTGTGTGTGTGCATGCTTGTGTGCATGTATGCCAGTTTCTGTGTGTCTGTGTGAAGAGGTTTCATATGCTGTAGTTCTAATTCAACAGCAGGAAGTAAGGGTCAATTAAAAAGTCAGCACACAGTGTATCTAGAGACTCAACAAGAAAATAACAAAAGACTAAAAAAAGAACCTGCAGAACTTTGGTTTTACTTGTTGGTTTCAATTATTCTCAATTCTTTATTTTTTATTCTGTTGAAATATCTCCTTTACTCTCTCACAACATGTTTCTATTCACACTGTACATTCAAAGCAATACTGCAGTTATTTTGTTCTCCTACTTCCCCCTCTGTGTCTCTGCTGGTTGCACTGTGCAGCAGCAGGCAGGTGGAGGTTTTGGCCTTCGTCTGAGTTTATCTGCGCAGCATCTTAGGAAGCCAGAGCAGGAGGGAGAAACGAACCAGCTCGTTCCAGCTATTTTCTCCTTGTTTGATTATTTGATTAACTTCTCGCTGCGTCACAACATCTGATTTCTTCTCTCTGTGTTCCAGGTTAGCCCAATTTACTCACACAAAAGTATTTACTCACCCAAAAGTCCCTCCAAAAGGCCACTTTAGTTTGTGACTGTTGTGATGCGTGTCTCGCCACTCGTAAAATCATTTTCTGATTGAACAGAGCGATGCTTGTTTAATCTGAAGTTGAATTAAAGCAGACTAAACATAATAACTCTTGAGTAACTTTAATTGGGCAGTGAAAAATGAGTAATAGTGCCGTCAGCATGCATGAAGAAAGATGAATATGATAAAGTCAATCAACGTGGATAATATCAGCAGTTGAAAGGAATAAAACCATGAAAACATAGTGCTGGTGAAACTGGAGGATTACTCAGCACTTATGAAAAATTAGTCAGCCGTCAGCCGTCAGCCTTCAGCAGTCATAACAAACACATCTAAACCAAACTAAAAAGGACTTTCTTTGGGTTTTCAAGCATTTTGCATTTTATTAAACTAGTTAAGAGATTTCATTCAAATTTGTTCAATTAGTTTTTGGTCTGCGTCCAGGGTGATTTCTTAACATTGTGAGATATTTGACTTATTTGGAGATTTTCCTTATTTTCTCATGAACTTCTGTACTTACTTGTTGAAAGAAATCTGAAACTTATCTCCTGATAATTCTTGGTGAATATTATGAAGCTGATCTGGATCCAGGTGCAGATAACATTTCTTTAATTAGAGGATTGTGTAACCATCTGTGCTTTCTGGTTATTATTTTAATTTGCCATTGACCACCATTTGTGGTCATAATCAGTTAGTGTGCAACAAATCTCTCCAAGAGGTAAAACCTTTAACACTGGATATCTGCCAATACTGAGTCTGATCCAATACTTCACCTAAATGATCATTACATATGTATCCGACACACTAAAATAACAGCTATAGACTAAGTATGACACACGTTTCATGAGCTACTTGATCAAAATCCACTAGAAAGAAGAGATCTCACTCTGTTGGCACTGCAGAAACATTCCCGATTGATCCTCTACCCTTTCAAAACATCTTCGGTTGAGCACTTTAACCAAACAACAAACAAGTTTAATTTTGGCTTTCTATCAAGTAACTCATGGAAGTAACGTTGATTAGTGACAGCTGATATGATCTGCTGCTGGCTAAATATGAGAAGCTGCTACCTGAATCTTCTGTGCTCTTTGATATTGATAATTAACATTGGAGTTTAGGGAATCCGTTCTTTTTACCAGCCTGGACTCTTTCACGTCTTTTACCTTCACACACTCCAGTTTCCACTCTCTGAATACTGAAGTGTGGAGCCCAGCTGTGGTAAAGGAGAGCAGTGCTGCAGGCTGAGACGATCTAAACACTAACTGCATTTATTTTATTTGATACATTAAAATCCATTAACATATGCTTGGACTGGCCCTGACATCTCTAATATTAATTGTTTTTATTGATTGTCTTTTGGCAGATCAGCCACGAGTCATCTTTTAAGAAACGCTACACATTGAAATCTCAATATGTTATTATCACCAATGGTTTTCAATGACTCGACTGGACTGTAGTCTCAGGGATCCCTGTCTGATAATTTGTTCTATATCCTGTAGATTAAAGAGTGTGAAACCTTTGAACAGAATAGTCATTCGTATACATTCTCTCAGTGAAATTAAAATATTCCCCATGTAGAACATCGCTGTTTTAAACGATGTCTGCTAAGTTTATCCATGGAGAGGACAATCTGAGGACGCAGTGATGGTTTTGGCAGTGAATGAGTGTGATGATTAAATAGAGTTTTGTGTTGGGATTTAAGAACAGTGATCCAGACTCCAGTGTGATCTGGCCTGAACTTCCCCTCCCAGTGACAGTTGGTAACTGGCCGTCCCACTGGGACCAATCTGTTTGTTGGTGCAGCGTTATATTTATCAACTCCCTGTGCTTCTCAGTGGCACTGATATCCTGAGGACGTGGAGTCTGAGGGATGAATATATGGCTGGAGGGATGGATTATTTATTTGTCAGGGGTTGAAGGTCACAACATGGCAGTGCGAGTTGGCATCGGTTGATATTCCCAGAGATGTAGAGACCTGCATCTTTATATACCAGACCTCCTGACATGTTTGATTATACATGTTTGATTTGGTGAACTTAATGCACTGAGTGGTGCTCAGAAAGCAGTAATTCAATGCTGAGCTTCTGGAAAGACTCAACTCACCTTACACCTTCGAAAGTGTTATTTACTAATGAGGCTGTGAGTCAAAATGACTGTGGAAGGAAAATATAAAGTCCCTCTGTCTTTCTTTGCACACAGTTTTACTTTCTGTTTATCTTTTCCATCCACAGTTGGAGAAAGTTATTCAGAAGAGCATGAAACCCAACATCCCTAACATACCACCGCATGTCGTTCACAACCAAACAGCCACCATGCTGGAGATCGGAACAAACCTTCTCACCCACACGGCGGAGCAGACACGCAAACTCAATGTGGTCGAAGCCAAGGTAATGAGTCGCCAGGTGGCCGATCTCGACGCTTGAGAGTGGAGTTCCTGGCTTAATGATGTTTCTTCCACCAGGTGCTGAACCACACGTCTCGAATAGAGATCCAACTTCTGGAGAATTCTCTGTCCACGAACAAGCTGGAGAAGGAGCTGCTACTGCAGACATCTGAGATCAGTCAGCTACGAGCCAAAAACAGGTAGAAAAATAAATGCTTCTACCTGAGTGTGAATGTCCTGCTGACAGTATAGAGCTAGATCCAAGTTCAGTTCACTCAGATTGAAACGAACTAGTTCATGTTTATAGTTCACAAGTTTTAAGTTCACAGTACTTTCTTCATCATTAAAATGACCTCCTGCAATATTGTCTTGTACAAGTCTTTGTGACAGATTTTCCACTAAAAGTGAAACACAAACACATTTATTAAGTGACTTTCTCCTGGAGAGCCCTTCAAAAGCAGCTTCCTAATCAATCACTAAGACTAAAAGCCAGTTTGATGCATCTATATCTGCCTTATTTTTCATACAGTGAGCATATTTATATCTCTATGTGAAATCTTTAATATTTCCAGTAAAAAAAATATGTAAAAATATTGACAATCTAATAAATAAAATGGATTTATTTATGTATGGGATTAAATCTGATCCTGATTATGATAATATGAAAAGGAAACCAAACTGGAGGCTCTCCCTTTGTTTGGAGTCTGAGGCGTCGAACGTGTCCACGGTCAGAATCTGTGTAGGTTGATGTCATTCTCTATTGCCTCATTTCCTGTTATCTCTCTGCTGTCAGAATCTCTAATAAAGGGATTAAAATGCTCAGATATTTCAGAAAGAATGAAAACATACTGTAATGTTCACCAGGACCAGTGATACAGTATTTTGTACAGTATCTTCTGTCTCTGCACTGCAGCAAGACCCCGACAGGCTGCTGTTAACCTACTGAACAGTCTGAACTCACTAAGAGTCCGTTCTTAAGCCAAAAGAAATTTGACATATAAATTCTATTGTTACAAATCCCCTCGGGACATATTTAAAAACACTATGATTTGAACAATAATTTGTATCTGATGTGTTTTTTCCACAAAAAAGTGGAATTACTTTGGTAAAATTACATCTACCCTCCTCTGACCCAAATATGAGTTGACCCTCAGCCTTATCAGCAATTTCACAACTTAACAGTGAGAATATTTGAAATACAAGCAGGTCATTAGAGATGATGGAAATACGTCCACAGCTGTTGCTGCGAGACATGGCAATATTTGGAATCACAATATTTTCACTATTTTTCATTGTGAGGTGAACTTGGACGGTGCGCTGGGCAGTAAAACATGCAGAGTAATTATCAAGCGTGTTCTCTGTTTACAGTAACAGATATAATACAAACAGAGAGAGTGTGTGTGTGTGTGAGTGTGTGTGAGTGTGTGTGTGTGTGTGTGTGAGGGAAGTAGAAAAGTGTGTGAGAGTGTCTTCTCTGTGTCAGTGGATACAAACATGTCATGAATTCTCATTTATCTTCAGTAGAACAGCAGTGTGCTCACATTATTCACACTAATTTGACCGTTAGAGTTCTTTGCAGTCAGTGTTTGTTCGTCCCAAACAGATTATCTACCGACTGAACACATATTTGCAGCTATCAGGCCATTTAAGCACCGACTGTGTGTGTGTGTGTGAAAAACTTTCATTTAAAGCAGAGTCCCAATTAGTGGCTGCATATTTTACAAATAAAACCAAGTTCTTTGGATGCATAAAACCTCTTAAAGCCCACAGAGTTGCCCACTTGAGTGAGTTCTAAGCTGCTTTTAATCGCCTACACAAATTTGTCAATATGGAAATGATACACATCGTTAGATCAGTTAGATTCTCCATAATTCAATCAGTCAGTTCATTTTAGATAAACTGTGAGCACCAAACAATCAAATGATTCGTAATTGATCTGTTATTCACATCTCAGTCACATCTCATGTGCCGGCGTGTTCAGAGTGCAACAATGAGGGAATAAGAATAACAGTCTAGTTTTAATTTGGTGACAAAGCATTCTTCAGATAATCCTGCGTGATCTGAGAGGTCTGTAAAAGCCTCTGAGGTAGGAAAATGTTCTCAACCATGGAGCATTTAATCCTTTAATTTACCTGAAAACATTTATTTAAACTCCTGATAATAATGTGCTGCTGCTCAGGGAGCTGGTTTTGATTACGTTGTGTACATACCAACAGAATTTAATTTGTTGAAGCAGGTCAAATGTACTGTTTCTAAAATAGAAGTCCGATCTTTGTGCTGATGACCCGCTATGTGATGAAGGCTGCTGCAGTATCGGATTTTTTACCAGGAAACAGGCTTTTATTTTCCTGTAGTGAAACTGTTTTAACACTATTAAATCAGTGTTGTTGAAACCAGAAGGCTGTGCTGAGGTTTTAGTTTAGACAAATATTAGATGCACCCTCTAATGTCAGAGATTACACTGCATACAACAACATACTCAGGATCTTTAGAAAGTCTGAAAATAATCTTAAAGGACCAGTGTCTTGGATTCAATGGCATTTAGTGGTGTACTTACAGATTACAACCCCTCGCTGCACCCTACCGTTGGTGAAACATGAAACATGAAAGGCCCTGTCTGGAGCCAGTGTTTGGTTTGTCCCTTCTGGGCTACAGTGGAAACATGGTGATTCTACATGGCGGCCTCCACAGAAGGCGACCCGCAGCGTCTGTAGATTACCATTTTATTCTAAGGTAACAAAAACACAACGATTCCT